CACACACACACACACACTCACACACACTCACACACACACACACAGACGCTGTATACAGGGGAACCTGTTGATTTGTTGCACTTGGTTTTTGAATGAAGTGCCACAGCAAAGGTTCTCCCACAAGAAAGGAGCACATGGTGTAGAACACGTATTCAGGTGGAGGATGGATTGGTTCGCCAACAGGAAGCAGAAAGCTTTCTCCAGTTTTAATTAATGAGGGGGCAACTGGATTCAATGCTTGTGTCCTGAGAGGGTCAGTGTGGCCTTGACAGGCTGAATGGCCCACTTCCACACTGTAGGGATTCTCTGTCCATGATGTGGACATGACGACTGAATGTACAGGATCCACGTTTGTCGATGACACCAAGGTAGGTAAGGCAGAAAATTGTCTCAAGAAGGTGGAGAGATGCACGAGAGGGTATAGCAAGGCCAAGTGAGTGGGCAAAAACTTGGCAGACAGAGGATAATGTGGAGAGTGTAAAGTTGCTCGCTTTGACTGGAAGAAACAGAAAGCAGAGTATTGCTTATATGAAGAAAGATAGCAGAGCTCTGGAGTACAGGGAGATCTGGGTGACCTGCTCCACCAGTAACAAAGTAAGTTTTCGGATACAGTAAGTGATTAGGAAGGCAAATTAAGTGTTAGTTCTTATTGCAGTGGAATACAAAAGTAGGGAATTCTTACTGCAGCTTGCCAGTGGATTGGTACAACCATGTTTGGAATACTGTGTTGAGTTTTGGACTCCTTATTTGTAAGAAGTGGGTGGGAGGTGACGGCCTAGTGGTATTATCACTGGACTGTTAATCCAGAGACCCAGATAACATCCTGGGGACTGGGGTTCAAATCCCACCAGGGCAGATGGTGGAGTTTGAATTCAATAAAAATATCTGGAATTTAAAATCTAATGTTGACCATGAGTCATTGTTGATTGAAAAACCCATCTGGTTCAGTAACATCGTTTAGGGAAGGAAACTACCATCCTTCCCTGGTCTGGCCTACATGTGACTCCTGACCCACAAGAGTGGTTGAATCTTAACTGCCCTCTGGGCAATTAGTGGTAGAACAGTACAGGCTCTTCAGCCCAGGATGTTGTGCTGAACTTTTACCCTAAACCTAAGGTCTATCTAACCTCCACCCCTACCTTTATACTATCATCCATATGCCTATCTAATAGCCGCTTAAATGCCCCTAATGAGGCCGACTCCACTACCCTCTCCGCCAATGCATTCCACGCCCTGACCACTCTCTGAGTAAAGAACCTACCTCCGACGTCTCCCCTATATCTACTTCCACTCACTTTAAAACTATGCTCCCTCGTAATAGCTACCTCCACCCGAGGAAAAAGTCTCTGGCTGTCTACTCTATCTATACCTCTGATCATTTTGTACACCTCTATCAGGTCACCTCTCATCCTTCGTTGTTCTAAAGAGAAAAGCCCTAGCTCTCTCAACCTTTCCCCGTAAGACCTTCCCTCCATTCCAGGCAACATCCTGGTAAATCTCCTCTGCACCTTTTCTAACGCTTCCACATCTTTCCTATTGGGCAATAAATGATGCCTGGTCAGCGACACCCTCATTCCATGAATGGTTAAAAAAGAAAAAAACGGATATAACTGCATTAGAAGTAGTTGAGAGAAGATTCACACAACTCATTCCTGGAATTAGGGTCTTATGAGGGAACGGTGAAAAGGTTGGACCTATACCCATTGAGGTAAGAAGATTGAGAGTGATCTCATAGATCCCAAGGGGACTGGTCAGGATGGATACCGGGGGTGAGTTTGAGGCTGTGAGGGGATTAGAACCAGAGGCACAGTCCTTGAGAAAATGAGATTTCACCTGGGATGGAGGGACAAGTCCAGTGAGGACAGATGGGTGAGACTGTGCCTGGATTCTCAGGAGTTTAGAAAAATTTGAAGGATCTCATTGAATGTTAAAAAAAATTCTGAAAGGGAGAGACAGAGCCGATGCAGAAAGAATGTTTCCCATGGCTGTGGGGTCTGGAACCAGGGAACACAGTCTCAGAATAAAAGAAAAGCCCACAGTTACCCCCAGGAGAGGTACCTAGACCCCCATACAACCCACAGTTACCCCTGGGAGATGTACCCACCCTCCCATATACACTTATACAGACCAGGTTTCACCTGTACAGACTGGTATTCAAGATGTGGGTGACAGTGAGGGGGAGGTAGTGAGAGGCTCACACACAGACCTCCCCGTCCCCTTCCCCTCCCTCCCTCCCCATTCCCCCCTCTGTTACACTTACCACTGAGGGGGTGCTACAGCCCATGAAGGAGCCCAGGCTAATGGCTCTTTTCAGCATCTTCCAGAGATCCAAGGGGGGGTTCTTCAGGGAGATGACAGATTTAACCCCGCCAGTGAAATCCACCAGTGCTTCTGAAATCTGACCCATGTGCAAATCTCCGTATGATCCATACAGCCTATCGCGGAGGGGAAAGAGGAAAGGTGAACATTTTGTGGAATTTCTGATTTGAGCTCTGAGCCCCCAAAATCTACACTTTAATTTTGGAGCTGATCATTAGGCTGGGTGACCAATGCCATGACAGATCTCCACCTCAAATGATCAAACTTTATAGTGTTCAGCAGCTTCTGGATGGATCGCTGAGAGCATTGGCCTCCTTAATGAAGACTGTGCGACACTGGAAGAATTGGATCCGTTACCAAAGAAAGGCATGATTTGTCAAAATCTTTGTCTTGCACTTATCAGGACACTTTGCAAGAATACCAACAGAGGGCAATAAACCAATCAGAGGACAGTGCTGATTGGTCATCAAGTGGATTCTGTTTGGTAGAAGCATTGCCATGGAGAATACACCCATTATTGTAATCTTACAAAATGATCTGATGAGTATAAGACAGAAAAGCTTCAATAGGTTATGTCTATTTTCAGGAAATACAGAAGCTCTGTATCACCAAAGGACTGAACACTTGGTTAAATAGTCTGTGAAAGGAAAGGGTTTAGGGCCATTGGCATTTCCAGGTGTAAATAAAATACACTTTCACCAAGCTGGCACAATGACAGCATCTACAGATTGAGCTACCTCCATCAGTTAGACCACATCAGTCACAGACATGAGCTGAGGAAAGCTGCCAGTGTTGGAATGGGTTAGAAGCCATGAGCCAAAGTCCTCCTGAGCCTGTTGCATTTACCACATTTCACATCTCAGTGACTCAAATACTAAATTCTAACAAACTAAACCTTATCTCATTTTCGTTTCAATGTAACAATGCCATATTGAGGAGGGTAGTGCAGTTGATGTGGTTTACATGGATTTCAGTAAAGCCTTTGACAAGGTCCCACATGGAACACTGGTCCAAAAGGTACGGATCCAAGGCAAGTTGGCAAACAGAATCCAAAACTGGTTTACAAATAGGAGGTAAAGGATGGTGGTGGAGGGTGAGTTTTGTGATTGGAAGCCTGTGACCAGTGATGTACCATAGGGTTCGGTGCTGGTACCATCGCTATGTGTTACTTACATTAACAACTTGGATCTGAATGTAGAAGGTACAATTAGTAAATTTGCACTTAGCACAAAAATTGGTGATGTTGCTGGTAGTGAAGAGAATGGTGTCAGGCTACAGTCTGATATTGATCAGCTGGTAAATTGGGCAGAGCAAAGGCAGATGGAGTTTAATCCTGATAAACGCGAGGTGATGCATTTTGGGAGGTTTAATAAGGGAAGGACATACACAATGAATGGGTAGGTCCCTAGGGAGTATTGAGGAACACAGGGACTTTGGTGTACAAGCCCAAAGATTCCCGTAGGTATCAGCACAGGTAGACAAGGTGGTGAGGAAGGCGAACAGGGTGCTTGTAGAATAAAGGAACAAGGACGTCTTGTTACAATATAATAAAACATTGGTTAGGCCACAGATGGAATACTGGGTGTTGTTCTGGTCACCACACTATCAGAAGGATGTGATTGTACTGGAGGGGGTTCAGAGGAGTTTCACCAGGATGCTGCCTGGGATGGAAAGTCTAGTTATGAGATGAGACTGGATAGTCTGGGATTGTTTTCCCTGGAGCAGAGGAAGCTGAGGGGGAATCTGATTGGGATATACAGAATTATGAGAGGCGTAGATAGGGTAGACCATGAGAATCTTTTCCCCAAGGCAGATGTGTCTAAGACCAGAAGGAATTAGTTTAAAGTGAGGAGTAAGTGGTTTAGGGGGGAACCTGAGGAATCTTTTTCATTCAAAGACGGGTAGAAATATGGAATGTGCCACCTGAGAGAGTGATGGTGGCAGGCACTCTCACAACATTTAAGCAGCATCTGGATAAACATTTAAAATGCCAGGGCATCATAGGCTATGGACCAAGTACAGATAAATGGGATCAGTGTAGTTTAGTGTTTGTGGGTTGGCACAGACATGGTGGGCCGAAGGGCCTGCTTCAATGCTGTACGACTCGTACTAATTGCCAATGATCAGTGGAGTGATTGGTCAGATAGCCAGCTTTGTGTCTGCGCTGGCTCTTTGTAAGTTTATACTATTCATCCTGAAGATTAAAACTTGCTACTTTAATGAGCTAATCTGCTGTGTCACACTACCAGGCACTTTGATGTTAGTTATCTCAAAATATTTCATAGCCCTTGAGTCCCTTCCAAACTGCCTCAAGTTTAAAGACATTAGCTCACAGTAATTGTACATTAATGAGTGATGGTGATGGGCATTAACCAGGGACAGACTGTGATCATATACATAGAGACACAGACTGTAACTGTGGTTACTGCATTTGGATATGTACCTTTTTAATGTGTGTCTCTACTTGTATAAGATTGGAATCCATATGGTGTGGAAACAGGCCATTCGGCACAACAAGTCCACACCAACCCTCCAAATCCTCTCCCCCGACCCTATCCCTATAACCCACCTAATCTACACATCCCTGAACACTACGGGCAATTTAGCATAGCCAATCCACCCTAACCTGCACATTTTTGGCCTGTGGGAGGAAAACGGAGTGCCCAGAGGAAACCCACGCAGACACAGGGAGAATGTGCAAACTCCACACAGACAGTCACCCAAGGTTGGTACTGAACCCGGGTCCCTGGCACTATGAGGCAGCAGCGCTAACCACTGTGCCACCGCGCTGCCCTAGTGATGCACTTGTAACAGTTATAAATGTATAAAGATTAGGGTTCAGATCTAACCTCCTGGTTACCTGGAACATAGCACAGACTGCCCACCAGCTTCAGCCCCTGATACATTATGCTGAGCTCCAGGTGGCCACACTACCCTTGGCTAGCAAAGGGAGCGTGATTGCCTTTCTGTCATTTCTGCCAAAAGTGGGTGGCTGCTGGGTGAGACCAGGGCCAAGGATAGCTGTGATTCTCTCACTCCCAGTATCGTGCCACCACCCCCACCCCCCCCCCCCCCCTCCCCCCACCTCCTGGACACAGTCAGGAGAAACTGGGAGAACATGAGGAGAAGAGCTGTCATTGTGCTCCCAGCCTTGACCGTTGGCAGTGGCTGTCCCTCCATGGCGCACAGAGAGATGACCCTGTCACGTGACCCCTTCCTGCCCAGTGCCAGTCCTTCCCATGAACCATCACTCACTTAGCGTAGGCCTTCTCCATCAGAGCACACCAGAACTCATTCCAGTCACATGACCTGACGAAAATCAGCTGACCCCTTTCATTGGTGGGGAGACGATCATCGACTACCACATCCACCCAGTCACCGAAATGCCAGAACTGGAATCGGAGAGAAAAGCACTTTTTCAGGAATGTGGAAACTGGTAGCTGAAGGAGGCCCTTCCAGCCTCTTCCACTATTCAATATGGCTGATCCTGTATCTCCACACCTTGTTGTAGTTTAAAAATAGGAAGGACTTGTTACAACCGTACAAGGTGTTGTTGAGACCACACCTGGATTACTGTGTACAGTTTTTGCCCCTGTATTTACGAAAGGATATAGTGGCATTGGGGGAAGTTCAAAAAAAATCACTTAGACTGAGTCCTGGGATGAAGGGGTTGCCTTATTGAGAATCGTTCAACAAGTTAGCATTTAACTATTCAAGACTAGAAGAAAGAGAAATGCCCTTATTGAAACGTACAAGCTTCTGAGTGGGTTTGACAGGAAAATTGTTGAGGAGAGGTTTTTACTTGTGCTGGAGTGTTGAATTAGGGATCTTACAGAATTAGTTACGTACATTAAAACTAAGGTGAGGAAAGTCTCTGCTTCCAGAGTGTAGTGAATGTCTAGCATTCTCCACCTCAGGGATTTGTGGAGGCAGAATCTCAGAACGTGTTTAAAGAGGAGATCAGCAGATTCTTGAAATATCGGGGAGTTGATGGTTACAAGGAGATGGTACAAAGAGGGGTTGAAGTCTCAGACAGATCAACCATGATCTCGTTGGATGGCAGGGCAGGCTTGAGGGGCCGAATGGCCTGCTCCCGTTCCTATTTCTGATGTTGTTCTACTTCCTCCTCTCACACTTCAAAGGCCTCGCTCCAATTTAAAGACTTGATTTGCTGGTTCTGGCCTCCACTTCCTCTGTATCTGTCATTTCTACGTTCTACTGCACTTTCCTTCCAGGAATGAACTCTTGTGACTGCAATATAATCCTGTTGAAACTTGGAAATTCTCCAAGGTTACTATAATATATCCTTCCTGATGTCAGCTGTCCACCAGGAAATGTTATCCTACAGTGGCTGACTCAGTCCAATCTGCAGAACCAAAACAAAAACTTCCTCCACTTTGTGTTCCAGCCTGCTTTGGATAAATACCAATATTCCACTGGCTATTCAGGTCACTGTATCTGCCTGTCCTCTGGTTTGCAATGATTTCTAAACAAAAGCTCCTCATTTCTCCTCACTTATTTCTCCACCAAGTCCTAGTTCCTCAACGTTTAGGAAATATCCCGATTTGTATCTGATCCAAAGTGAATGATCTCACACAGCGTCAGGATGAGCTTTGCCAAAGTTTTATCAGTCTACATTCACTGTAAATCCTGCTCTGTAACATTTACTGTGATCCGATCTTGTGTATTCTGCAATCTTTGTAATTTTGTTCTTCATCCAAGTTATTAACTTCTTAATAAAAAGCTAAGACTCCAGCAGAGATCCCAATCAGCTGTGCATACATTCATTCCTACTCTCAACCTTCAACACCAGCTTTCAACATATCCAGCTAATTTCAACTTTTTGCTAACACTCTCCCGTGTGGGAGGTAATAAAATGTATTTCAGTAGCCCATGCAGATGATGCCTATAGGCTTCTTAAATTTTCTTAAAAATTCGGCAAGTCAAACATGAATTATTCTGCACAAGTCCACACTGACTCTCTGGCACAAGAGCGAAATATAGCAGATGCTGGAAATCTGAAATCAGAACTTTCCAAATGAAAAGTCATTGACCAGAATCATTAACTCTATTTCTCCCACCACAGATGATACCAGATGCTCAGTGGTTCCATTTGCTTTTATTTCTGACTGTGTCTGACTCAGTTCATGTTTGTTCATTGGGAGAGGTGAGGTAGTGGCAGTGCAATGGCAATGTCTCTGAACAAGGAACCCAGAACACTCCAGAGAGATGTGGGTTCAAATCATGCAGGTGGCAGGTGGCAAAGTTTGAATTGAAAATCTGGAATTATAAACTGGCCTAATTGCAACTGTATTAAAAATAACATGCTTGGTTGTAATCCAGAGCCCCAGCCTAACGCTCTGAGGGAATGGGTTCAGATGGTGAAATATGCAATCAAAATAAGTCTGGAATAAAGATAATCTGTTGATGACTATGTAAATATTGCCAATTGTCTGAAAAACCCAACTGGTTCACTAATGTCCTTCAGGGAAGGAAACCACCATCCTTACCTGGTCTGGTCTACATGTGACGCCAGACCCACAGCAATGTGGTTGACTCATAACTGCCCTCTGGGCAATTAGAGATGGGCAATAAATGCTGCCTAGCCAGTGAATAAAAGTAAATTGTTAATCTGGTCCTAGCGACAGATTCCAGTAACTTCCCCACAACTGACGTCAGACTGAAAGAACTCTATCGTTTTGCACTTTCTCCTTCTGATCTATCTAAATAATGGACTGACATTTACAATTTTCCAATCTGGAGACTTGGGGGAAATATAAGAATGATGCTCTGTAATTTCCTCACTGACTTTCATTAACTCTCTGGGCTCACAACGTATCAGATCCTGGAGAATTGACAGCCCTTCATTCTCATTTTGACCATTTTTTTTAAAAAAACTTCCATCAAATACAATATGATTCTCTAAATGTATTTTTTTTTGGTTTCCTTTGTGCTATTGATATTTTGGTGTCAGCTGTGAAGATGGACACAAATTGCTGAATTTGACAAACGCATAAACTATGGTGACCAGAGAGGTTTCCCAGCCATGAGCTGGGATCCAGACCAAAGCAGATAGATGATGCTCCCTCCCAGAGGGGAGTTCGGGATCTCCAGTGCCAGATCAGCTGCCTCAACCCCCTCCCCACACCTCCATGTGTGGCTTCACAGAGGTCCCCAGGCACCAGGGAAGGTGGGGGAGGAGAGGCAGTGGCGCACCCAGGTCCAACTGGAGGGGTCTACCTGCTTAGCCCCAGGGGGCACTGACCTCTCTTGTTGCTCGCCCACCCTCGGCAGCAGCACACACCCTGCTGGCACAGCTTCGGAGGTGCCTGGAGATTGCCTACCCACTGTCTTGAACTGGACTACAGGACCAGATACAGCCAAAATGTGGGCCAGCTTTAGGATATTCACTGAGGAGCTGGACACACCACTAATTTCTGCTGACAGCAAGTCTACCATTTCCTGATATGTCATCACCTTAGTCTGTCTTTAACAGAGATAGTAGGAACTGCAGATGTTGGTTCCTGCTCCTCTGATGCTGCTTGGCCTGCTGTGTTCATCCAGCTCTACACCTTGTTATCTCTGTCTTTAACAGGCCTTCATTTCCCAGAGCCATTTTCTCTCTCTCAATATATTTTAAAAACCCTTACTGTTAGCATTGAGATCCTTTCCTATTAGTATTCTTTTATTGTTTTATCAGTTGATGCAGGATTTTCACTTCCTCTGTCTTTGTGCAGGCTCCTCCTGTTAGTTTCATACACACCTTATCTCATTTGTTGGCCACGATTGCCTAACTACATTAGAGAAAATCTTGCCTTGCAGGAGTGAGTGCGTTCTGCGTGCAATGAAGGATTTCACTGAATCCGTCCCATTGTTTGTTGGTTTGTGTACCCATTAATAAATCAGTCCTGTTTGCTGTGGTCACTTTACAGCTCAAAAGACAGAGGGGCAGCCTAAAACCCACAGGACTGCTCCACCATTTAATAAGATTATGACTGATCTTCCACATCACGTCTCTGAAGAGGAGTCATACCAAACTTGAAATGTAACCTCGCTTTCTCTCTCCACGGATGCTGCCAGTCTCTTGAGTTTCTGCAACATTTTCTGTGTTTATTCTACATCACTGTCCCGTCCGATCCCCGAGTCCCTCAATCCTGCTCACTCCAATCTGCATTAGTTAGACTGATATGGATCAACTCTGCATTTTATGTGAAAATTCGACATTTCCTGTCAGAATGACTTCATTCTCCACTGGTCTCCACGTTAACACCTATCTGCGACTCCCTCAGCTGGTGCCGGGAGACCAGAAGACTACTTCTGCTAGAATGTTGCATCTTTTTCACTTCCTTCGCTCTGAGTAAGGTCTTGCCTGCATTCCCTGAAGTGCTAGCCTTTCCAGTGCTGAGGATGGTGCAGGAACTAGTATTGCTACATCAACTCCTTTCCCAAAGTCTCTGCTCTCTTGAAAGACTGTATAACGTTCAACACTGCACTCTGATTGAGTCCTATCACTGACAGAAACTGAGCTTAGTGTCGCTGTATCCCCGAGATTCCCCAACACCCCCACCCTACACCTAACCTGCAGAAAGACAAAATTCAGGGGAATAAGACATACTGGCTCAACCAGCCTGTATAATCCCAAATGGAGTTCCACTATCAGTACCTGGGTTTTCAAGTACTGTGGGTTTTTAAACATTTTTCTCCCTTTGGGATATTATATAGCAACACTGGGATATATATACAAATATATCGCATAGAAACACTGGGATATAACTGCAGATACATTACATTGCAGCATTGAATCCCTAAAGCGTGGAAGCAGGCCATTTGGCCCATCCAGTCCACACTGACCCTCTGAAGACCCAACCCGCTACCCTATCCCTGTAATGCAGCATTTCCCATGGCTAACCCACCTAGCCTACACATCCCTGAACACTACGGGCAATTTAGCATGGCTGATCCACGTAAGCTGCACATCTTTGGACTGTGGGGGGAAACCGGAGCACCCGGAGGAAACCCACGCAGACACAGGGAGAATGTGCAAACTCCACACAGAGAGTCGCCCGAGGGTGGAATCAAACCCGGGTCCCTGGCGCTGTGAGGCAGCAGTGATAACCAACAATAAGATATAGCTGCAGATATATGACATAGAAACAGCGGGTATAACGGTCGATATAGTATATTGCAACAGAAGCATATAGCTGTAGATACATTACATAGCAATAAGGGATATAGCTGCAATACATTACATTGAAACAGTAGGGTATAGTTGCAAACACATGACAGCAACAGTGGGTAAACTTGCTGATATATTACAGAGCAAACATGGGCCATATGTGCAGACACATCACCCATAATACTGACCCGAAAGTGAAAAATGCCGCAATAATTTCTTTGAAAGTCTTGATTAGGTGGCACGACATGAGCAAAAAGCTCTTGTTGCATTGTCAGGGAGGATAATGCAGCCAGAAACCAGCAGTTTCCTGGAGAAAAAGGAAGAACCTCATTAGTGTTAGAGACAATCTCCAAACCTCCCACCAAACTGCCCAGTCTGTGCCACTCACAATCGATGCCACCATGCAGATTTGTTATTGTTACTGGGGTCTTACAACATGCAAGACACACCGAGTGTAGCTGGAATGGGGCGTAACCTTATGGATTTGGTGAGTATGTCAGTATCCAGGAGAGTGGGCGTTGTAAATCTGCACAAGAGGGAACAGTTATACATTAATTAATAAAAATAAACTAACAGCAACACAGTAAAGGTGCTAGTGCAGGTGATGTGTTGTGACTGCAAGAGGTGGGAGATTCTGGACACCAACTTGATCCAGGACGAACATAAGGCCATAAGCTATCGGAGCTGAACTAGGACATCCAGCCCATTGAGTTTGCTGTGCCAATTATTGGCATCACAGCTGATGTGATAATCCTAAACTCCACCTTCCTGCCTTTTCCCCATAACCCTTGATTCCTTTACTGATTAAAAATCTGTCTATCTCAGCCTTGAATATACTGAATGACCCAGCCTCGATGGTCCTTTGTGGTAAAGAATTCCATAGATTCACTCCCCTCTGAAAGAGGAAATTCCTCCTCATCTCCCTCTTAAATGTGTGACCCCATATTCTGAGATTATGCCCTCTGGTGCTAGACTCTCCCAGAAAGGGGAACAAGCTTTCCACATCTTTCCTGTCAACTCTGCTAAGAATCTTAATGTGTTTCAATAAGGTCACCTCTCATTTTGCTAAATGCTAATGAATACAGGTCCAACCAACTCAACGTCTCCTCATAAGACTGTCCCCTCCATACCTGGGATCAACGTGGCAAACTTTCTCGGGACTGCCTCTAACACCAGTATATCTGTCCTTAGATCATGGAGACAAAGCTGTTCACAATATTCCAGCTGGTGTCTGAGTAATGATAATGTTTTAGCAGATCCTTCCTATTTTCCCACTTCATTCCCTTTGAAATAAAGACCAACACCTCATTTTCATTTCCTTTTACTCACTGAACGTGGATGCTTTTTGAGATTTATGCACGAGGGCTCCCAAAGCTATCTGCAGTCTTTCCCTATTTAAATAATTTTCACCTCCTCTATTCTTCCTGCAGAAATGCATAACCTCACATTTCCCCACATTGTAGAGGCATGGAGCTGTACAGCACAGAAACAGACCCTTCGATCCAACTCACCCATGCCAATCAGATATCCTAAATTAATCTAGAACATTTGCCAGCATTTGGCCCACATTCCTCTAAACGCTTCCTATTCATATACACATCTAGACGCCTTTTAAATATTGTAATTGTACCAGCCTCCACCACTTCCTCTGGCAGCTCATTCCACACACGCACCACCCTCTGTGTGAAAAAGTTGCCCTTAGATCCCTTTTTAAATCTTTCCCCTCTCCTTAAACCTATGCTCTCTAGTTTTGGACTCCCCTACCTTGGGGAAAAGACCTTGACTATTCACCCTATCCAGGCCCCTGTGTCACCCCTCAGCCTCTGATGCTTCAGGGAAAATAGCCCCAGCCTATTCAGCCTGTCCCTGTAGCTCAAACCGTCCAATCCTGGCAACCTCCTTGTAAATCTTATATTCCATCTGCCCAGCTTTTCTCCCATTCACTTAACCTGTCCTTGTCCTTCTGCATAGTTAACACAGTGTGGAGCTGGAGGAATGCAGCAGGCCAGGCAGCATCACAGGAGCAGGAAAGTTGGCGTTTCGGTTCGGGACCCTTCTTCCTGCTCCTCTGCTGCCACCTGATTTGCTGTGTTCTTCCAGCTCCACACTGCGTTATCTCTGACTCCAGCATCAGCAGTTCTTACTGTCTCTTGTCCCTCTGCAGACACTTTGCGTTATCCTCAGTACTGGTTGTCCCATCTATTCATGTGTTTTCCACAGACGTGACAAACTTGTGTTGAGTGTTTACAGCTTGAGGAACTTTTGGTCAAATTTTACGAGCTGGAATCTAAGCCGCAGATGCTGAGATGTATCAAGGAGGGAGAGAGATACCTAGACACGTTACTCCAGGAAGCAGTCGCATTTCTTAGGATCTCTTGGATTCGGTCAGTGGTCTGGGACAGGAGTGAGCGGCTGCAAGCAAGAGGTGGTAAGGGGAACCTGGGAATTGGAAAATCCCAGTCCTTTGCAATTCCTTAACAGGCGTGAGGCTCTCTCACCTTGTTTGAATGAGAAGTGTGGGACGGATAACTTAAATGGCCACGCCATCTTGGGACATTCATTCAACTGGGGAAAGCCGAAAGAAATATCGTGGTGGTAGGGGGCAGCAAATTCAGGGAGATTGACACTGTTCTCTGCAGCAAAGAATGCAAGTCCAGATGACTGTGTCGTTCTACACAGTGTCAGGATTCAGGATATCCGGCAGTGCAGGGGGAAAGATCTAGTTATCACTGCCCATGGAGATACAAACTACAGGGTTGAAGAAAGAGATTCCATTTAAAATCAGACTCTCAAAGATACTAATCACTGGATTCTCATGTGCAAACTGGCAGAGGGTAAACACAATTTGAGAGGGATGAATGTGTGGCTGAAGAGATTGGATTGAGAGAACTGGCCTCCAGTTCAGGGAGCAGTGGTACCGGCACTGGGGAGGGTGGGATCTCGACCACTTTTACAGCCCACACCAGAACCATACTGCGGCTGATGTTCTGCTGCATTGCAGAACCCGGGAAGTCAAAAGAGCTTTAAACTAAATGATAGAGGAAGAGATCAAATTTGGAAAGATATGGTAAATCAAAGGGCATGAATAAAGCCACAGGAAAAGGTACTCATTTGGGGAATGGAAACAAAAACTGTGACAGCAGGGATAGAGAGCAGAAAATGTAACAGTAAGCTAACAGACCCAAGGACAAAACTAAAGGATCTGTGGCTGAGTAACTTTCGGATTTTAGGCAAAACAGATGAACTAATTATGCAAATAGGAAGAAATGTTTGATCTGACAGCTATTACAAAGACATGGCTTCAGAATGACCTAGGATGGGACCCGAACATTAAAGTGCACAGGACATAAAGGAAAAACAGGAGTTGGGAAGAGATGGAGGATGTGCTAATTAATCATGTTATAGCACAATAGAGAGTGATGACTTAAGTTCAGAAAACCGGGATGTAGAAATTGTTTGGGTAGAGATGAATACTGATAAAGGCAAGTAACTACATGCATGCAAAGTGTATAGACCTCCATAATGATATGGTAGGATGGAGTATAAAGGAAGTACTTACAAATGGGACTTTGTTAGAAATGTACGCCAATAATAATGGGGGATTTTATTCTATGTATAGACTGAAAAATTAAGATGGACAATGGTAGCCAGGGTGAAAAGCCCATGGAATGTTTCCAGAATAGTTTCTTAAAACAGCATGTTCGGGAGCTGATCGGTGAATAGGCTACTGACCTGGTACTGTGCAACAAGACAGAGTTATTTAATGACATTGGCAAGATAGGATTCATTAATGACCTTGTGGTGAATGTGTTTTTAAGTTGCAGTGATCATAATATGATTGAAACTTACATTCAGTTTGAGGGAGAGAGGAGTGGGTCCAAGACTAGTATTTTAAACTTAAATAAGAGAAATTATGACAGTGTCACTTTGACTAGCTAATTGGGTTCAGGGATAGGTCAGTAGAGATCAGTGGTAGACGCTTGAGAGGATATTTCAAAATACACAGAATAAATACATTCACATGAAAGGAAAATGTCAAGGGGGAGATTGTGGTTAACAAAAGTATGTTTAAGATAGTATCAAACTTGCAAAGATGGCAAGGTTAGACACAGAATATAAACAATGCAAATAGTGACTGAAAGATTAGTAATGAATGAAAAAAAGGAGATCTAATTTAGATGGAGGGGGGTAGTTAGAACACACCGGGATCTCTGTGCTATGATTTTCACATATTGTGTTCATACCCGCAGTACCCTGACAGAATCTTACCCACTGCACTGCCTTGGCACAGATCAAATCGACTGACTCCTTTCACAAAAAACTGGGGGTTCCGATGGATTTGCTGGAAAGAAAGGAATTGTTTTAAATCCGACGTGGAACAGTTCAAAAGTTGAAGCATATCGTACATTCAGAGAGCTCCATGTTTCACTGATAATATTCCTGTTCTCACTCTGCTCACCACACACTTAGATTTTCCCCGGTGTGTCTATGGACAGGTTGCCCACCTCCAGCCTTGGCACTGTCCCACAGCAGGCTGATTGACTGAGGAAGGCAGCACAGTCAGGATCCAGTCCTTACTCTTGCCCTGTTGGAATCTGCGGATAATGCCCAGAAACAGGGAATATCAGAAAAAAGGAGAAGCAGCAAAGCCCCCACCTATTATTTCGCCATGAACTAATTCACCTGCATCTTCTGTCAGGATTAAAGATGAACCTCTTTCAGTGAGAGAGACCAGGATGTTGGTGTACCAGTAATGGAGCTGTGTAAAAGTGCAGTATGAATGGCTGATGGAGCTGATTACGTGGCAACATGTGTTGAAAGCAGGAGGAACATGTGCAGCCAGAACTTAAAGCTTTGATTGAGGACAATCTCAAACAAATTACCTCTGATCGGACTAGTAAATAGCTGAAAACTCTCTCTCTCTCTCTCTCATCTCTAGGCTTTGCCTGCCACTCAATATTTCATATTTCCTCATATCTCCACTCCCTTAATATGTGCACTTTGTTGTGAGGAATTCCTTATCCACACTAACGTGCTCACCTTAAGCTGGTGCCTCACAAACAGAAGTCAGGAATGTTACTGCTGTTATGTAATTAACGTGGTGAGAGATGACTGATGACCCTTAATTCACTCATTCTGAGAAACAAAACAAGGCCCAGAGGCAACATGTGGAGATTACCGTAAAATGCAGAATTGATTTAGAATGTACGGCCTGAACAGGTAAAACCGAAGCAACTTCTACAGAAACTTTCATAAGGCAATCACAACAAGGAAGGGAGAAAACTATTGGGACTAAATGGGTGGTTCTTTAAAAGAGCATTCACAGGAACAATGGGCCAAATGGCCTCTTTCTGCGATTTTAGTTTACGACTGCAATCATTCTGTGTGCTTCTCCTTTGCACATCCAGAAAGAGCCATCAGTCCCAATATAGAGTCGAAAATCCACTGCTCAGTGAAAAGGGCAGCTCACATTATTGTTTCTATGCGATCCCCCCTCATTTTTCTAAACTTCAGTGAATATAGTTCTAATCGATCCAGTCTCTCTTCAGACATCAGTCCTGCCAACCTAGGAATCAGTCTGGTAAACCTTCTGCACTCCCTCCATTACGAGGACACCCTTCCTCTGAAAAAAAGACCAAAACTGCACACAATACTCCATGTGTGGTCTCAGCAAGGCCCTGTATAATTGCTGCAAGACATCGCTACTCCTGTCCTCTCGTTACAAAGGCCAACATACCATTTGCCTTCTTTACCGCCTGCTGCACCTGCGTGCTTACCTTCAGCGACTGATGCACAAGGACAACCAGGTCCCACTGCACACTCCCCTTTTCTCATCAATCACCATTCTGAAAATAAGCTGTCTTCCTGTTTTTGCTCCCAAAGTGGATAACTTCACCTTTATCCACATTATACTGCGGCTGCCATGTATTTGCTCACTGATTTAACTAAAGCATCTCTGCACCTTCCTCTGGCCCAGCTGTGTGTCATCTGCAAATGCTACAAATATTACATTTACCTCCCTTGTCTGCATCATTAATATATAATTGTGAATAGCTGGGGAACCAAGCACTGATCCATGTAGTAAAAAGCGAAAGAACTGCAGATGCTGTAAATCACGAACAGAAACAGAAGTCCTGAGGAAGGATCACTGGACCTGAAATGGTAACTCTGATTTCTCTTCACAGATGCTGCCAAACCTGTTGAGTTTTGCCGGCAACTTCTGTTTTTGCTCCTGATCCATGTGGTGGCCCACTAGGCACTGCATGCCATTCAGAAAACAATTCCTTTCTTGCTGCTCTTTTGTTCCCATTCTGTCAGCCAGTTCCCAAAACATACTCAAAACATTTTCAGCAGGATGGCCTATTGCATCAAAAACAGCCATCTAACTATTCTACTCCCATTATCTAGCACTTGGGCTGTGGCATTGTATCACTTGGCATCTTTTAAATGTTACGTGCAAATGTACTTCTTCAAAGTAATGTGGGTTTCAGTGTCTCCCACACTTACAGGCAGTGAGTTCCAGATTCCCACCACCCTCTAGGTGAAAAAACTATCCCTAACATCCCCTCTTGACCTTCTATTCCTGACCTTAAATTTATGCCCCCAGGTCATTGACCCCTCTGTCAAGGGGAAGTGTTTCTTTCTGTCTATGCCCCTCATAATTTTACACATCTGAACAAAAATAAAGAAGCAGTGAACTTTCACAGCTAACTGACTGTGAAATTATAAACATCTCTGAAAATCGGAGTTGGGTCCAGGAAAAACAAACAAACAGTGAAGTTTCATAACTAATCTTGGAGACACCTCATTGTTGGACTTACTCACTGCTGGCAGTATCAGCAATACAGAGCCTGAGGCAGCTAAATGTTTGATTGTCAAACCTATTAACCTTAACCTTTTAGCTGTAAATTTATAACAGTGAATAGGGCAAGGTTTTATTTAATGTTCTATTGAGATCTGTCTCTTGATCAAATTTTTTAAAATATAAAACATTGGTATTCAGTTATCCCAGAGCAATGCTTTTAGAGCAGTAAGACTGGGCTGCTTTCTGGGTCTGTAGATTAAGGTGTAGGGATGGCCTTTAGTCGAGTGATAGCTCTTCCTGTTGAATGTGGGAAATTAGGGAGAGTTTCAATGATTGTGAGAATTATGTCTGCAGGAAGTGTGTTTGATTGCGAATCCTATTGGATTGCGCGGATCAGTTGGAGCAGCAGTTAGAGGCAATGAGAAATTTACAGGATCTACGGGGTGTGATGGATGGCAGTTGCAGGAAGGTAGGAAGACCACAGATACAGTCAGGCAGATGGGTTATCTCGAGGAGAGGTAGGCAGGCAATGCAGGAGTCTCCTGTGGCTATCCTCACCTCAAACAAGTATGCTGTTTTGGAAAATACAGGGGGTGAGGGGCTCTCAGGGGAATGTAACGCCGACAGCCAGGTTTCTGGTACTGAGACTGGCTCTAATGTAGTGTGGGGTAGGTCAGGCTCAAAGTGATTGGTTGTGATAGAGGACTCTCTAGTCAGGGGCACAGCTAGACATTTCTGCAGCTGACAACGAGACATCAGAATGGTGTGTTGCCTCCCTGGTGCCAAGATCAAGGATATCTCAGAGAGGGTGCAGAATATTCTCAAAGGGGAGAGGGACCAGCAGGAGGTTATTGGAACAAATGACACAGGAAGAGAAAAGGATGAGGTTCTGAGGAGAGAATGCAGGGAATTAGGCAGGAATTTAAAAAGTAGGTCCTCGAGGGTAGTAATATCTGGATTTACTCCCGGTACCATGAGCTAGTGAGAGTAGGGATAGGAGGAGGGAGCAGATGAATGTGCGGCTGAGGGGCTATTGCAGGGGAGAAGGATTCACATTTCTGGACCATTGGAATCTCTTCTGGAGTAGAATTGACCTGTATAAGAAGGACGGATTGCACCTGACTTGGAAGGGGACTAATATACTGGTGGGGAGATTTGTGAGTGTTACTCAGGAGTGTTTAAACTAGTAAGGGTTGGAGTGGTGAGACCCAGAGACATACAGGTAGTGAGAAAAGTGATCAGTCTGAGGCTGATACAGTTGAAAAGAGGAGCAAGTCAAATAGTCAAACCATTCAAGAGCAAGGCAGAGAACAGAGTAGGACTGATAAATTAAACTGCATTTATTTCAAAGCAAGAGGCCGAACAGGTAAGGCAGATGAACTCTGGGCATGGTTGGGAACATGGGTTTGGGATATCGTAGTGATTACAGAGACATGGCTCAGGGATGGGCAGGGTTGGCTGCTTAATGTTCCAGGGTATAGATGCTATAGGAAGGGTCGAAAGGAGGGCAAGGGGTGGGGTGTGGGAATGACGTTTTTAGTTAGGGATAACATTACGGCTGTACTAAGGGAGGCTATTCCAGGGAGTATGTCCAGGGAATTTATTTGGGTGGAACTGAGAAATAAGAAAGGGATGATCATCTTATTAGGATTGTATTATAGGCCCCCCAATAGTCAGCAGGAAATTGAGAAATAAATTTGTAAGGAGATCTCAGTAATGTGTGGGAATAATAGGGCGGTTATGGTAGGGGATTTTAACTTTCCAAACAGACTGGGATTGCCATAATATTAAGGGCTTGGATGGAGAGGAATTTGTTAAGTGTGTACAAGAAAATCTACTGATTCAGTATGTGGACGTACCTACTAGAGAAGGTGCAAAACTTGACCTACTGTTAGGAAATAAGTCAGGGCATATGACTGAGGTGTCAGTGGGGGAGCACTTTGGGGCAAATGATCATAATTCTCTCAGTTTTAAAACAGTGATGGAAAAGGACGATTGGTGGTGTAGTGGACAGTGAAGAAGATTATCTCAGAGTACAATGCGACCTTGATCATATGGACTGATTGGCCAAGGAATGGCAGATGTAGTTTAGATAAATGTAAGGTGCTGCATGTTAGAAAGGCAAATCAGGTCAGAATTTATACACTTAATGGTAAGGTCCTGGGGAGTGTTGCTGAACAAAGAGATCTTGCAGGGCAGGTTCATAGTTACTTGAAGGTGGAGTTGCAGGTAGACAGGTTAGTGAAGAAGGTGTTTGTAACGCTTGACTTTATTGATCAGCACATTGAGTACAGGAGTTGGGAGGTCATGTTGCGGCTGTACAGGATATTGGTTAGACCACTTTGGGAATACTCTGTTCAATTCTGGTCTCCCTACTATAGGAAAAATGTTGTGAAACTTGAAAGGGTGCAGAAAAGATTGATGAGGATGTTGCCAGGGTTGGAGGGTTTGAGCTATAGGGAGGGGCTGAATAGGCTGGGGCTATTTTCCCTGGAGCATCAGAGGCTGAGGGGTGACACAGGGGCCTGGATAAGGTGAATAGTCAAAGTGTTTTTCCCAAGGCAGGGGAGTCCAAAACTAGAGGGCATAGGTTTAAGGTGAGAGGTGAAAGATTTAAAAGGGACCTAAGGGGCAATTTTTTCACACAGAGGGTGGTGCGCATATGGAATGAGCTGCCAGAGGAAGTGGCGCAGGCTGGCACAATTACAACATTTAAAAGACATCTGGATAGGTGTATGAATAGGAAGGGTTTAGAGGGATATAAGCCAAATGCTGGCAAATGGGACTAGATTAATTTAGGATACCTGGTCAGTATGGATTATTTGGACTGATGCTGTACAGCTCTCTGACTCTATGGCTCTTTGTCCTTTCTCAACCTCATCTGCTCCAAAAAACAATCGCAGTCTGTCCAATCTCTCTTCATAACTGAAACTCTCCAGCCCTGGCAACATCCTGGTATATCTCCCCTGCACCTCTGTCCACTACCTTAGTCACCTCTTCAAAACAAAATTTAGTGAAATTTGTCAGGCATGGCCTACCTGTCATGTAGCTATGCTGGCTCTCCTTGATTAACTGAGACTTTCCAAACCGTTCAACTCCTCCATCCTTGCTTTTCGACACCGACAATTTCGTTCTCCTAATTTAGTTCCAAGTTCTCTCTTGCAATCATTCGCCTTAGGGCTTCTGCTGTTTTGAGCCTCAGTAACTGCCATAAACTTCCCTTTTCTCTTAATCCAAACATGTATATCCCTTACTATCCAGGTGTCGCAGGATTTAATGCTCCCACCCTTTTCCTTGACTGGAACATGTTGATCCTGTCCTCTCACTGTTTCCTGCTTGAATGCATTCCAACGTTCTGAGACAGATTTACCTGAAAATATCTATTCCCAGTCCACCCCAGCCACATTATACCTGATCTTATTAAAACAGCCTTCCTCCAGTTTCGAACCTTGATTTCAGGCCCATCTTTGACCTTTTCCATAACAATTTTGAATCTAACAGAGTTATGATCGCTGTCCGCAAAATGGTCCCCACTGATACTTTGCCAAAGAACAGCACAGCACACTAAGAACTGTCATGTTATCCAAATGAATCAGTTGAGGATGAAGATACCCCATACTCAGATTTTGTTTTAAAACAATCAACCATACTGCTCCCTGCTCATTCCAGGCTTTGTAAAATGCTATATGTCTCCCAATGACTCCGACCACATTTTCTACAAACAAAACAGGAAGTGTTGGAAAAACTTAACAGATCTTGCAGCATCTATGGAGAGAAAGCAAAGTTAATGTTTTGGGGACCAGAAGTTCTGACTCCAGCCACTAGAGAATTTGCCACCTGATACCCATTGATTCCAGTTTTGCCAGGGCTTCTTGATGCCACACTTGATCGAATGCAGCCTTGATATCAAGGGCTGTCACTCTCACCTCACCTCTGGAATTCAGCTCTTTTGTCCATGTTTGAACCAAGGCTGTAATGAGATCAGGAGCTGAGTGGCCCTGGTGGAACCCAAACTGGGCATCACTGAGCAGGTTATTGCTGAGCAGGTGCTGCTTGATAGCGCTGTTACTGACACCTTCCATCACTTTACTGATGATCGAGAGGAGATTGATGGGGCGTAATTGGCCAGATTAGATTTTTCCTGCTTTTTGTGTACAGGACATAGATGCCAGTGTTGTAACTGTACTGGAACAGCTTGTCTAGGGGAGCGGCAAGTTCTGAAGCACAAGTCTTCAGTACTATTGCCGGAATGTTGTCAGGGCCTGTAGCCTTTGTACTATCCAATGCCTCCAACCGTTTCTTGATATCATGTGGAGTGAATCAAATTGGCTGAAGACTGGTATCTGTAATGCTGGGGACCACGGAAAGAGGCCAAGATGGATTATCTGCTCAACGCTTCTGGCTGAAGATTGCTGTGAAAGCCTTATCTTTTTGAGTGATGTTCTGGGGTCTTCCATCATTGAGGATGGGGATATTTGTGGATCCTCCTCCATTTAGATAATATGTGTCTTCTTCCTGCCAAAATTCTCACACAAGCTCACACCAGGATACACGAACACCAACTTGCAGCAAAACGGCATGACCAGTTCTCCCTCATGACATAGAAGGACATCAATTCGACTGGGACAAAGTTATAGTACTAGGACAAGCGATAGAAAGACAGGCACGAGAATTCTTGAAGGCCTGGTTTTCAAACCCCATGCAATTAATAAATATGTTGAAAGAGACCCCATCTACATACCACTACGGTACAAAACCAGAAACAAGGCTGCCCACCATGACAGACCACACCATATAAATTCAGAGCGGGACAGAACAACAGCGCTTCAACAGAGACTACACAGCACTGACAAAGTCACCTAGAAGGGAGAAGAAATATTTGCATGAAAACCAGTCAGCTCGGCAAACCAACCAACAATTCCAAGCTCACACCTTCCTACACTACATTCCATTTGCCAGAGCTTTGCTCACTTATATTACCAATCTATATCCCTTGTAGCCTCTACAGGCTCTCTTTACAACTTACTTTCTGGCCTAGCTTTGTGTTATCAGCAAATTTAGCCACCATATCTTCTCATTTTTAATGTGAGAGGAGAGAGATTTAAAAAAGACAAAAGAGGCAAACTTTTTATACAGAGGGTGGTTCGAGTGCAGGATGAACTTCCTGAGGAAGTGGTGGATATGTGTACAATTACACCGTTTAAAAGACATTTGGATAGATACATGTATAAGAAAGCTTTGGAGGGATATGGGCCAGGAGCAGGCAGGTGGGACTAAGTTGGTTTGGGATTATTTTCAGCATGGACTGGTTGGACCGAAGGGTCTGTTTCCATGCTGGATGACTTTATAAGTCATTGATATGAATTGTGAACAACTGAGAACCCAGCACTGATCCCTGTGGCATACCACTCGATACATCTTGTTAATCTGGAGACAAACCAGTTTTCATTAATTTCTGTCTCCTGGTAGCTGGCCAATCTACTATTTGTGCCAAAATGCTAGCCCCAACACCTCGAGCTGTCAATTTTTGCATGTAGAAATGACTTCTGTAAATTTAAGAACAGTTCACTGTTATCCACAGCACATTACAATCCTCAAAGAACTTTTATAATTTAGTTAAATATGATTTCCCTTTCATGAAACCACATTGCTTCTGCCTGAGTTCCTTGAACTCATCGAAGTGCCTTGTTGTAGCTTTGTTTTCAGACATTTAACTGATATTTTACTGTTAACTTGTTATATTTCACCTGTTCCAGATGTTAATCTCACTGGCTGCTAGTTCCCTGCTTTCTGCATTCCTCTCTTTGAATGAAGATGTTATGATGAAACAGAAAGACCAGGAAAGAGTTAAGTACAAGGGGAAATTATTCAAATTTGTTTGTACAGGCTTTTAGACTGGCAAGTGCAAGATACAAACAGGATACAACAGTGTAAGTTATGGCATTGGACTGGTAATTCAGAGAATGTTTAAAAGAGATGAACAAATAGATTGATGGATTGTTGGAGACTGAGGAGTGATGGAAGATATTAAGTTAGACCCAGAGAATGCAGGAAGTACAGAGTTAACTGATGCTGTAATTTGATTGTTGCGAAGACTACAGTAATTTCTATTAGTACGAACCTTTAGACATTATCAAAATAACCACTTGCATTTTGATGGTGCTTCTCATGATCTTGGGGAGTACCAAAGTTCATCACAACCAGCCAGTTATTTTGTAAGGTGTGATTTCTGATGCAATGAGCAAAGTTATGCACAGCGAGCTCTCAATAACAGGTCAAATATCATTGCGTGCCTCTATTTTGCGGAGGGAGCCCTTCACCGTTTTAGAATCTACTCATTCCCCCTACAGCCAAGCCACAAGCGAAGACATAGAATTGAACTTCCACCCAGGATTCGAAAGGGGGATGCTGGGTCACAGTTAGAAACAGAGTGGGGTGGGGTGGGGGTGTTTGGTGGGGGCAGAGGTTGGGGGAGGGGAATGGACATTCAATCATTAGAAGAAAGTTTGGACCATGGCCATGGAGCCCTAGTCAGTACTCACATGGGGTCTCCTCCACTGCACAGCTTTCACCTTGCTGTCCCCTATGGATGTCCAGTCAGCGGGGAAGCTGAGGTCCTCAAACAAGCCGCGGCTCTGCAGGCAGCTCCTCCGCAGGGACTCGTAGTCCTGGCCATTAAACCTCCTGGGATTGGACAGGCTTCCTGCTCTTCGGACTGGAGGCTGCAAGCTCCTGTCGACTGCCCTTCTCTGTGACCCTGGGGAAAGGAGCTCGTGTCCATCCATCCTTCTGGCAACAGCCTGCCTGGAAAAAGAAGCAGCAAACATGAAGGGAGCGTGTACTGGCTTGTCCCACCATCCAGCATGTAGCAATTGTGAAATCAAATCCTTCACTCTTCACTGAAAGAGGTCTGTAGGTGGGAATGAAAGGTGAAATGCTCTACCATCTCCAGGATCTCTCCATCTCCCGTTCCCTCTCCCTAGGAAATCCAGGAAACTAACAGCTACCTACCAGTTTCTCTCTTATTGATCTGGTTATCACGATGGTTAAAGTACAACAACAGGCACTTTCTTCCTCCTGCGTGCTCTCCACCCCCACACACACATTTGCATGCCCACTAGAATGTAATCCTATCTAGCTGCTCAATCCTTTAAAGAGCAAGACTGAAAGATTCTTGCTTGACTGCATTTTTACAATTGGGAGTGCCCTGGCAACAAATACAGTTTCCTAATCCCTTCCAGGAGTTCTAATCTGATATTCTCAGCTGGGACCTTCTCCCAGGAAGCAGTGGCTAAGGGGTGGGAAGGGGAAATAATTGTTTAGACGGGCCAGCACTGGGGAGATACCTAACACCCTTCACATTTCCAGGGAACACAGACTCCTGGTGAGATTGCCGCTAGTCAATCTTCCCAACCTGCTGCCAAATAATGTCCAGTTAAAGAGGCATCTCCCCGACTGGTCAACCTGTGGAGGCAGCTTATCTGCTTCAGGGGGATGGTCCCTCAGGCTCCATCTTCATCTGAAAGACCAAGGCCCTGGGGAAGCCATGCCTCTGCTTCCTTCCTCATCTCTCCCCTCAATACCCAACCCCAGAAACCATCCTCCTCAGGCAACACATGCCTGTCTCTCTGCTAATCCTCCACCTTGGGAGAGGGGGTGCAGGCAGCTGGGAGGTTGGGGGGAGCAGGCAGGAAAGACTAGGGGGAAGAAAGTACAGGCCAATTGTAATTTAACCATCAATAATAGAGAGAATGGTAGGTAACCATTAGTTTCTTTGGGAGTAAGAGAGACACGAGATGGTAAAGCAAGTTGATTTGAGATCATTTCTTGTTACATATTCCATCTCGTTACACTGATCTCACTCAGTATTCTTTCCTTCCTGCCTGTCCTCCTGAAAGGTCACGTAGCCCTGAATATTTAGTTCCCAACCTTGAGCTCATGGTGACCATGTCTATATAATTGTTGTAATACCAGATCCATTTACATCCTTCTTAATTCATGGGATGTGGGTGTCGCTGGCTGGGTCCAGCATTTATTGCCTGTCCCTAGTTACCCCTTGAGAAGGTGGTGGTGAGCTGCCTTCTTGAACTGCTGCAGTCCTCCTGCTGTGGGTTGACCCACAATGCCATTAGGAAGGGAATTCCAGGATTTTGACCCAGCCATGGTGAAGGAACGGCGATATATTTCCAAATAGGGGAAGACGACACATCTGCAATGTGTTTGAGATAACAAGGTGGAGGGCTGGATGAACACAGCAGGCCAAGCAGCATCAGAAAGGCTGACGTTTCAGGCCTAGACCCTTCTTCAGAAATGGTTTGAAATGCAATGTGTTTGACTTTGACTGAAATGATCTGTCAGTTCAAGGGTAGTTAGAGATGGGCAAAAGTACTGCCCATGCCAATGATGCCCATATCCATGAACGAATACCACCACCCCCTCTACCCACCTGCCCAATGAGGCAACTTCCCTCTGGCCAGTCCAGGCACTAGCAGGTTAGGAGTCTTTTTGTTCCACTGACATGGCTGTGGGAAGAAAAGGCTACACACAGCACCCAATGAATGCGCATATCCATGTGACCTACCCTTTCCATCTAAATTCAGACCTCCAAGGGGACTTGTATATTGACTCACTGATAGCAGGGCCCATGTCTCCTGATGGAGCTGCTTAGGATCTGAATGACAGTCCTTAACATCAAAGCCATGTTTGACCCAGTGTGTGGCATCAAGGAGCCCCAGCAAAACTGGTATTTAAGGAGAGTGGCATGCTGGCTCAGCGGTTAGCACTGCTGCCTCACAGCACCAGGGACCCAGGTTCAATTCTACTCTCGGGCAACCGTCTGTGTGGAGTTTGCACGTTCTCCCCATGTCTGTGTGGGGTTTCTCCCAAAGTCCAAAGATGAGCAGGTTAGGTGGATTGGACATGGGAAATGTAGGGTTACAGGGATAGGGTAGAGGGATGGGCCTAGGTGGAATACTCTTAAGAGGGTTGTTGTGGACTCATTGGGCCCAATGGCCTGTTTTCACACTGGAGGGATTCGAAGAAATTTGCTTCAATAATTTTAAAAATCACACTGCTCCTCCCTGTTGGGACTAGAGAATACAAGCTCCAGGCCATCGCTCCTGGTGTTACTCAGGATAGTGTCCTGGACCCAATTATCTACAGCTGCTTCATCAATGATCTTCCCTCCATCATAAGGTCAGAAGTGGGGATGTTCGCCGATGATTGCACAATGTTCAGCAACATTCGCGACTCCTCAGATACTGATGTTGTCCGTGGTCAAATGCAACAAGATCTGGACAATATCCAGGTTTGGTGTGACAACTAACATTCACTTCCCACAATTCCTAGGTAATGATCAGCTTCATTAAGAGAGAACTGAACACTTTCTCCTCGACTTTTGTTACAGCTCACTTGGGTGTGTAACATCCAATGTTCTAAAATCAAATCCCACAATACCGAGAGTCATCGTTAAAACTAAAGATTTTATAATTGTTAGCATGATTCCCCAACTTACCCATCTTTCAGACCCAGGTTAACAGAAAACACAGATCAGGAGCCTGTACCAATTATTTAATACAAGTAAATAGGTTCTAGCTTCAGGCAAATACTTAATGATTCCATTGCATTTAAGGAAAATAATTCTGCTCGATTATACTCAACATTGCTTTTTTATGTTCAGCTTTCTTATCGCACACTGGCTAATGAGATGTTAGTGAGGACAAAGTCTGACCACTGATTACAATCTCACTACACTGTGACCTTTGTCTCCAACAGTGTTTCTCCACATCCAGATATTGTACTGGATTATTAAAGGGAGATGTATCATTTAAGAACACAGCCCAGTATGCTCACATTCAAGAAAGATGGAAAACAGCTAAGCAGCAGGGAGCTATGAAAACTAACCTTAAACTGATATAAATGCATTCCTACTTTAAAACTAAACAGTAACCTAATACTAATCCAAACTGTAACCACATGCTATCCTGACCAAATGCCAAGCCCTAACCGTAAACTTAGTCCTAATTGTAGCCTTAACTCTATTTCTGGCCCTAACTCACACCCTAGACCTAACTCAAACACAAAGCCAGGGCCTGTTCAGGCCCAAGTAATTGATGTAGGACATGCAATGGGTCAAAGGTGAGTCAGAGAGTCATAGAAATGTATGGCACCGAAACAGACACTTTGACCCAACTTGTCCACACCAACCAGTTATCCGAAATTAATCTAGTCCCATTTGCATGCATTTGACCCATATCCCTCTAAACCCTTCCTTATTCATTTACCCATCCAGATGCCTTTTAAATGTTGTAATTGTACCCACCTCCACCACTTCCTTTGGCAGCTCATTCCATACACACACCACCCTCTGTGTGAAAAGCTTGTCCCTTAGGTCATCTTTAAATCTTTCCCCCCTCACCTTAAACCTATTCCCACTAGGTTTGTACTGCCCCACGTCAGAGAAAAGATCTTGCTTATTTAAATTATTTATGCCTCTCATGATTTTATAAACCTCTATAAGGTCACCCCTCAACCTCTGACGCTCCAGGGAAAATAGCCCCAGCCTATTCAGCCTCTCCCTGTAGCTCAAACCCTCCAACCCTGGCAACATCCTCGTAAATCTTTTCTGAACCCTTTCAAATTTCACAACATCCTTCCTATAGCAGGGTGACCAGAATTGAACGCAGTATTCCAAAAGTGGCCTAACCTGTATAGCCACAATATGACCTCCCAACTCCTATACTCAAAGCACTGATCAATAAAGGCAAACATACCAAACACCTTCTTCACCTGCGACTCCACTTTCAAGGAACTATGAACCTGCACTGCAAGGTCTCTTTGTTCAGCAACACTCCCCAGGACCTTACCATTAAGTGTATAAGTCCTGCCCTGATTTGCCTTTCCAAAACGCAGCACCTCACATTTATCTAACATATTTATCCTGCTCAAGGTTCTAAGGGAAAAACAGTTGCAAAGTTCTCCAGCTGAACAACAAAACAGGAAATCATTGGCAATATCATGATTCCACTGGAAGTTCATCCCAAACATCAGCATAATGGCTGCTGCGTTCACAGATTGATTGGACAAAAGGTACACAGACTAAGACATGCCAAACTGCTTTTGAAAGGCTAAAGGCCATTTCAAGAAGTGAGCCTGCACTTGCAACTCCAAACTTTTAAAAAAACAATTATGTTGGAAATAATGGCAGAAAGGGACCATTCGGCCCCTCAAGTGTTCCCCATCGTTCAATATGATGATGGTTGATCTATTTTGGTTTTGAAATCCACGTTTACATTTACTACAATAGCCCCTGGCTCCCTGCCTAAGAAAAATCTATCCACCTCAGAGTCTTAAAAAAAGTCAATGGCCCAGGCTCTAGTGCCTTCTGAGGTACAGAGATCCAAAGTTGCACAACACTTTGACAGAAAAGAATTCTCCTCATCTTTGGCCTGAAAAGGCAATCCCTAATGATTAAACAGTGCCCCCTGCTCCTGGACTGACTCTCAGGAGGAAACATCCTTTCCACATCCATCTGGTCAAGGCACATCAGATCTCCTACACTTCAAACAAACCAGCCCTCCCTCTTCTTGAAATAAGGCCAGTCTGTCTACTCTCTCAACACAGGGGTCAATGATAGTAAACTCTTCCTCTGTACCATCTCCAATGCATTTACACCATTCCTTAAATAAAGAGATCAAAATCTGGAATAGTCCAAACAACAGGAAAGTGAATGTGAGGAATGTCAGATCAGACACGGATCTATTGAAAATGGAGCAGCCTTGAGGGGCCGAATAGCCTGCTCCTCTTACTGTTTCTTATGGTGTTCTGGTCTTAAAACTGCACACAGTATTCAAGATGTGGTCTTACTAATGCCCTGTAAAAGTATAACATTCTTAATTTTAAGCTCACCTCCTGTTGTGGTAAGGAATAGCATTTCATTAACCTTCATTACATGCTGTACCTGCTAACTAAACTTTTGTGACCCGTGTACCCAAACACTTAAACCCTTCAAAGCTGCAGAATTCTGCAGGCATCCTGCAGTTATGTAATAGCCAGCTCTTTGATTCTTCCTGCAAAAGTGAGCAAATTCACACTTTCTCACATCATACTC